ATGTTTATCTTTAGGGTAGTTTTTCTTCTTTTTCTGCAAGGTTGTGACATGAAACCAAGCAGCAATTTCTGGCAAACTCTTGAAGGGTTAATAAGTTATTAATTTGTAATATCTCTCTTTTGTCTCAGAACCAATAACCCAGTGTTGTTGAGATTCCTTCAGAATTTATCTTCTGCGATGGTCAGTGATGTATTGGTCCAAGAATTGGTGATAAAAGTGTTATGCTGTTGTCAAGATGTTCTCAAACCCTTTCTGACAAGTTTGACAGTGACATATGAGCCACGGCTTTCATTACCTTGGGTATCAAACCTGAATTTGTTAACAAAGGTAAGAAATATTTCTACACGTATTTACTATGGCACATCAAACATTGTTTTCACTTCAAGTCTTTTGGGTGATTGCAATTTTATTTTCAGATTTATATGGCATTGCCACAGCCTTCACAAATGATAGAGAAAACTATTTTGAAGATTTCTGCACGAGTGATGCCATCATTAATAAATGTGGTCATACCGCCTGGAATCAGCCGAACAGTACTAAATCGTGGAGTTCAGGTAAGTTAATCCAAACTCTTAGAAATTTAACAAAATGGACTTGTAAGAAGTTAATTTTACCTAGTAATTCTTAGCTTCCACATTGTTCTCCGTATTCTTATTTTAGGTCTCACAAAGCAGTGTACATGACAAAGAAGTATCGGATAATGTTCAGTTTAAAATTTGCCAATGTTTGACATAATCCCGCCCGTGGTGGGTCATTTTGACTGGCGTGGGCAGATGAAATACCAAAGACTACCAATTTGAAGCATTTTGATTTGCGCACACAGGCTTAAACCCATTTGTTTCAAAACCGCCTGTAACCGCCCGCGCAGATCCATTTCCCTAGTACCGCTTGTGACGTCATCAGAATGACTGAGCCCAGTTGCTCGAAGCATGGTTAGCGTTAACCAGCGTTTAATACCCTGACAACGTATTGGTTTTGATACTGCTTAACCAATGGTTAAAGCTAACCATGCTTTGAGCAACTCAGCCCTGGTCTTTAGAGCCAAACAGTGATCATAAAACGGCTCGACTAGTTTCAAATGGTATTTTTCGGAAAACATTCCCGGGGCGAATAGGGTAAAGGAATTAACCAACAATGTGTCTGGTTTGTCCCACTAAACTTTGCGACCTATGTTGGTGTGTCCTTTTCTAAAAGAAAACTTATTTACAGCCCTATAAACCTTGGTTTTCATCTACTTATAGCAAGAATAGTGCCATACTGCTTTTTGCTCTTCACAGTGTACCATTGTAAATGCTATAATAGATGACGATTCAATTTACAGGTTGGGAAAAAACCGTTTACACACAAGCTTTCGATTCCATCGTGGAATCTTTTTCAAGTGATGGGTTTGGACGTTTTTTCACGCGATTTATACTGTGAATTACGTGACAAAACGATTCCTCAAAAGATTCCGTGATGGAATCCAAAGCTTGTGTGTGAAAAAGTTTTTTCCTATCCTGTAAATTGAATCGTCGTTTATTATATCACTATGACAGGATTAAGTAACCCTTTTTCGCTAAGATTGTAAATGCTCTGAATTTGAGTATTCATGGCTTTCCCTCCACTTCTACAATAGTTCGTACGGCACTGATCAGTTTTCTGTACACTTACACACATAATTATCATCTTGCCTTTTCTTCAGCATGCAAGTTCTCTGGTAAAGCACACAACTCTGTCCTTACTGGTGGTGATCCTTGACAGAGCACAGAACACTGCCGAGTGTCTGGCTTCCAAGAATGGCACAGCAGTTGATCATGAACAGACAGAAACAACTTTGCAGCAGCAATTTAGAGAGGAGGTTCTCAAGGCTTTGCCTGATCTTAAAACAGTCATCTCCTTGAGGCAGAATCTTATTGTTGGTAACTCAAAAGAAGATGTCGAGAAAGGTATGATGCTTGTCACTAACAACTTCATCGCTGACAACTCTTTCCNTGCCTTTTCTTCAGCATGCAAGTTCTCTGGTAAAGCACACAACTCTGTCCTTACTGGTGGTGATCCTTGACAGAGCACAGAACACTGCCGAGTGTCTGGCTTCCAAGAATGGCACAGCAGTTGATCATGAACAGACAGAAACAACTTTGCAGCAGCAATTTAGAGAGGAGGTTCTCAAGGCTTTGCCTGATCTTAAAACAGTCATCTCCTTGAGGCAGAATCTTATTGTTGGTAACTCAAAAGAAGATGTCGAGAAAGGTATGATGCTTGTCACTAACAACTTCATCGCTGACAACTCTTTCCCTTAGATTCCTTGGGTAGAACCAAGATCCTTTAATCATTTTATAATTAAAATCTGAATCATTGGATAATGCAATTCTAGAGCTCTGATTGGATTAGCTATCATGGTATATGAGCCATTATACCATGCTCTCCAAATATGGTAACCGTACGCGTCTGCTCAAAATTAAAAACAAGCTGAAAATCGGTTGTTTTTACAAATAAAGTCGGGAAGAATTCGCGATATTTTGAGGGCGTTTTTCATAAAACAATTATTCCACTCGCGCTTGTTGGATGTGAGATGTTTATAGCCAACTCATATCCAACGTGCACTCGTGGAATAATTGTTAAATGTGAGTGGAGGATATATGCAGTTTAACATTAAGAAGGTTTAGGAAGAAGTGAGTAGTGTGACATTCCTTTTCTTTTCTAAAGATGTTACAAGTCCTACCATTCTGCTAGCGCAGACTCTTAAAGTAATCCATGGATTCCAGACGATCTGGCCTTCAGTCCTCTCACACATGGACTTTGACCTTAAGAAACTGTTACCAGGGCAACAGGGAATCAATTTTCCACCTATCGCTCAACAGCTGACTTTACAGATCCTCCTGGAAACGCCAGCTGGGAGCTTGAAGTGGTATCAACAGGTGACGTTACTCAGAGAAACACCGGTATTGTAAAATATTAGTGATAGTAGTGTTTCTTCATTTGCACACATAACATTCACCACTTTACAAATGAGAACGGAACTGGGACCGAAATGTGTCCTGGAATTGTTTTTGGGATCGTTACTGTAGACGCGCCGGTCAGCTATTGGCCAATAGGCTACTTCGGAGTGTAAAAAACCCTCACTTTCAAAACGAGGCCAAGTGCACAACCTTTCATGTGAAAATGGGTTTTATTTGCATGAGAATGAAAAATCATTTAACCTCGTTTTGATACAGAGGCCCGCGGGAACTTGGAAATGGCCTATTTTTTTTAGCCCGTCCTTAGTAATAGTCCTAATAGTCTTGGCGAAATTAAAGTGAACTCGTTTCTAACGTGGCGAATGTTGATCGAAGGCTGACTCAGTTAGCTTAAGAAATACGGTCTGTATTTTGGCAAACACCCTCTGATAGGAGTATACAGTGAAACCTGTATTAAGCGGACACCCTCGGGGAATGCTGTAGTGTCCGCTTAATACAGGGTGTCCGCCTAATACAGGTTCGATAGATAACGTCATATGAGGTGTCAAATGCCATTCAAATGAACAGTGGAAACCGGTTTAGAATACTCCCAAAGACTATGACGATATACGTTTGCATTAATTTCTTTATTAAAGGGGACTTATTGATAATAGTACCATAAACATAGATTGCAACTCAAATTTGAAGAACTCACATGAGTGAAACAAGCTCTATACAAACAAAACGAAATAGAAAACAACACTGTACTGTGAAACTAATCAAATAAGTTCGTCAAATCACGTTTTTTAAAGTTAAAATATTGAAATTTGTGGGTGGCAATCTTTCGCATTTCCGGTGTCTGGCATGATGGGTGGTGGAATTTAATTACAAGTGTCCGTTAAATACAGGTTGACAACAATAGAATGACCATTTCAGGTACTTTTTAGGTGTCCGCGTCCGCTTAATAAAGGTTTCATTTAACGTAAATAAGGGAAACAAATTTTGGGACTTTGGCTACTGTCCGCTTAATAGAGGGCGTCCGCTTAATACGGTGTACGCTTAATACAGGTTCACTGTATACAACTAGCCTCCTATCACGACTTTTTTTTATGACACATTGTTATTTTAATTTTTTTAGAAAGCAAAGAGTTCAACATCCTTTGTATACTCAATTCTCAGTTTATACACATCAACACAAAGTGAAAGCATCAAGAACCAATCTAAGGAACTTCTCTGGAAGGTTAGAAAATGTCATGAACATAGATCAAAGACAATGCTACCAGTCCTTCACTTTAACACCATGTTCCATCACGCACGTTTTCCTGTCTTTCAAAACGGTGTGATAGTATATAGATTTAGCCAGGGCTAAAAGCGAAGCTCTCGATAATATGTATAGTTTGTTCAAACAAAATATAAAATCGTGTAATGCTAAGCGGCGAAGGCAACGCCAGAGAACGGTGAAAAACAACAATGGGTCTAATTAGCACAAAAGCAACTTTGCACGTGCAGCACACTTTTTTTGTACATTTCTTTGCCGTTGTTTTACACGACTACAACGTGAGACTTCCAGAAACGTCTTAGTCACACGTTTTACGGAGGAAATGTCGTACGTTTTCTCGTTCACTTTTTTTTCACTACCGCTCATTTTCACCTTGCATTGGTGGCCGCTAACAGTTCTCATTTTGTCACCGCCGTTACAAAATTTTTATGTTGTTCTTCCAACAAAAAATTGTCTCCTTTGTTTATTATCTTTCGCTCTAGATCTCTGTCGCCCTTTTTCTCGTTGAACTTCGCTGGCCTGCTGCCTACTTTCTCTTTTTCTCTGTGTTTCTCTTGCTCTATGTTCCAAATTTGTGGACATGACGATTAATCTAAGCTTAATACTTTAGAAAACACGGATACAGAGACAATTGCCGCTTTCTTCTTCATTGGCTCTTTAATTGTCTCTGCTTTACAAGACGCGAGTGGCTATGCGATTTACCATCAAAATAACCTCGAGTTGCATTTGGGTTGCCATACCTGTTGACTGAGTATCTCCGCTGTTATTTCTCTTGCATAAATGTGAGGTAGAAAAACTGCTTCTTGTCTCCTCAGCTTCTAAATGAAAGTGGACTGGTAGAGAGTCACACTTATGAAGTGGACGCATGGTTGATTCAGCTGCGAGAAAGTCAGACGCATGATGGACAAGCAGATTCACTTCTGAGGTTTCTAGATGAAGTATTCTGTGCAGTGGCCGCTGAACCATATGAGTACACAGAAATTGTAATAGAAATGCAGGCACAAGCAGCAGCAGCCGAGGCTAGTGTGGCACAGACTGGGGTCGAGTCATCACAGTGGAACATGTCTAACACAAGGTCTGTCAGAACTGTAGTACGCAAGGTTGTATAATTATTGAAACATCTTTCATATCTATTTTCGTACGTAGAAATCTTTCAGTTAAAGACCGTCTATCCCGTATTAGTAAAATTTTACTAGTATACGGTCGTAAATTGGCTGACGTACTCACTATCGGTTTGATACTGATACTGAGCGGTGAAAACTGGGTCATTGACCAATAAATACTCTGTCCTTATTTTTCTGTCCTTGCGAAAGAATAATGGTAGAGCTTAAATGAAACGATTAGAAGGCGAACTCGAGATTTCTTTCAGCGGTTAGTGGACGAGTTACAAAGCCAGCAGTTAAGACGCCTTAGACCTTCAAAATGTTGGTATGCGCAATTGTACAACACTTCTGACTCCTGTAACTCCCAATCAAAACACCCATGGATAAAATCAATATCTTACTTACTTTGTTCGAAATTCTTTTACCTTAAGGTATTTCTTCTGTTTCAGACTCCCCGTCAGTCTATTGCTCATTGGAGCGTTAAAACGTTATTCTGAACTTCTCTGTAAAGTGAACAAGCATGGTGACCAGTCAGCTGCGAGTAATATAGGTGGGTACTTTACGTCACAGTGTTGTTTTAGGAAAACATACCCAAGTACTGAGAAACCTCTATAATACAGTCTTGCTAGGTCAAGTGTACCCGTATAGATTCTATAAATAGATTCAATCATTTGTTGAAAATGGTATGGGCATAGTGGTGAGAACAGTCCCCTCCCACCAATGTGATCTGGGTTGAAATCCCGACGTCGACGCCATATGTGGGCTGAGTTTGTTGTTAGTTCTCTCCCTTGCTTCGAGAGGTTTTTCTGCGGATACTTTGGGTACTCTCCTCAAAACCAACACTCCCAAATTCCAATTCGATCACGGACGCCTTTTAACGATTTCTCAAGAACCCTTTAAGTGCTTCACGGGTTAACAAATTACAAATTACAGTTTACAATTAATGGAATCCGTTAGTCGTTGTCAATATCACATTCATTTCTTCATTCTTGCATACGTAATGAGCAGTGAATTTACACGCGTGATGAAAAACATTTCTGCTAGCTTAACTTTGTTTTTGAGTTCAATCTGTATTTTCATAGGAATTTTCATCCATTTAAAATGTGAAAGATTTTTCAGTCTGTTCCAGTACAAAGAAGTTGTAGACTTACATTGCTACTCATTAGAGCGGTTTTCACTTGACTGTCGTAAAACCAAAACCAAAGTAAATACACTAGCCAACCAAAGGGCGTAGTAAAACCAAAACCAAAACCAAAACCAATCCCTTCGACAGTCAAGTGAAAACCGCTCTATGCATGCAGGAATACAGATTTGAATTTAATACCAGTGGCGGTAATTACCATTGCACTGTGGATTCACGGCTTTTAAAATAATCAGTTCGTTCGTAGAATTGAGGGGTACGCTTACCCTTGCTTATCAGTAAGCGGGAAAGATGAATGTCGTTGGTTAGATCCTAGTATAGGAAAAAGAGAGAAAGAACGCGCTATGCTACCATTGCTATTGGCACTACATTTTGCTTGATTTATTGTAGGTGTTATTTATCTCTTACAAACTTTACTTATATTTGTTAAAATACGTTTTTGAAAATGTGTGATATTACTGTGCGTGGTTTGACACTTTTTAACGTGGGCTTAAATATCAAGAGGACATGTACAATACTTACAGAAAGTCACAGTCTGCTACCAGTCCCCAAGGACTACCAGGAGGGAGAGCATTTTAAGAACCAGCGAACCAGTTCCTTCTCTTTTTGTTCCATTCCTCAAGTCTCGTTGTGACAGCTTGCTTTGTACGTCAGTTGAGAAAGGACTAGCTTGTATCTAGTTGTTAAGCATTCTTTATCTTAGAATCTTTATACTTCCTAGGAGGCATTGCACGATACATGAATTGTTTGGTCTTCGAGATGATCCACATTTCTTCAAATCCAGAAATTCTTTGTTTCGCCGTTTGCCATTACTATACTGAAATGGTAGTGGCGGACCATTTGAATGTCATAAGAAGTCTGCATGTAGCCTTACTGCAGTATGTAAGCAACTGGCTTCCTAGTGCGGTTCAGATACAGGACAGCATTGGATATGCCCCAGAAAATCTACAGAAGGTGCAACGTTTTTTGAACAATCCCGCTGTAAACAGCGAGCAAGGTAATGTTAAGGTGACTCGAACCAGTTTTTTGGGGGGGGTACCATGCTACTTTGAGGCTCTCTGGTATCCCCAATTTTATATTGTTATATTGTAGATTGATCTATATGTTATCCATTCTATGTGTTTGACTTACGATAAAAGTAAAGGTGGGGATACCAGAGAGCTTCAAAGTAGGATGGTGCCCCCCCCCCAAAAAAACTGGGTCGAGTCACCTTAAGAAAGCTACAAAGTATCGTATATGTACGTCATAAAAAACATGCCACGCGTTTTGCAATATGGCTCCTTCAGCTCTGGTGAAAAAATAAATGTAATTTAAACTCTATTTTAGGTGCTAGGGAAGTTTTGTACTTAGAATTTCTGCTTAGTTTTACCGACATGAGATCTTACTGTTCACCATGAACAGTCTAAGCACCTTAATGACATGGTGACTCCAGGAGACTTCGTTCGTTTGAAGAAAAACATGGCGACAGTGCCAAACTTTCCGTCCATTTCAACTTCCCCCTAACTGTACGTTGGATGGAATGACGTCATGCACAATCCAAAACGGCGACTCACAATGGCAATTTTGTAAGGATCAGATAGAAAATAGTCAATAGTTACTTAAGACGCTGTTATCTTTTGTTGTTGTTGTTGTTAATCGAAACATAGTTTCTTTCCCTGAGTGACCTGCTGAGTTATGTTGTCTCAACGATCAAATTTTTCAGTATTTGCCCTTCGGCTTACGTGTGTGTCCGAGGTGTTTCAATATGCCAGCAGATGAGATGAGCTGGCATGCAGTAGCCTCGAAAATTAAAAACGAGACGTATGAGTCCTTACTGTGGAAATAACAACAGCAAAGAGCGATTCGTCTCTGACATTATAGCGCATTTTATCCCCTTGGGATAAGTTCTGTCCTCGAGTGTTCAAACGTCGAATAGCGCTATCCGCGGGATAAATCACCATCCAACGGGATAAGTATTAGGGAAACCTATTGCATTATCTTCTGGATAGTGATTTATCCACTGGATAGCGTTATCCACCTTTTGAACAACTGGGGCCTGTTTTTTGGAGATCATGATTTTTTTGGAGAGATGGGTGAAAGAATGAAAGCATTTTTGTTGTTGTTTTGTTTTTTCGTAGAGAAAAGAGCATCGACTAGAGAATTGTACTATCTCCTGGAGGCAATGGATGATGCGCAGTTCAGAACAGTTATTGTCGACTGCGTTGAATTTTGCAAGCATCAACTCAGTGCAGATTTCTCACCACTTGCTCAAGTTTTGCAAGTCAAGAATTACAAAATCACAGGTGATTACGCATGATTTACACTGCGACCAGAAAACCCGTGAACACTTGAAATATCTCAGGAATGTTTATTGTGTTATGACCAATCACAACAAAGACCAGGACACATGAACTGGCCACAATACCACAAACTAATTAACGAGCTTGCTTGTGGTTTAGTTTTCTCTCGCCTGATTGCCTTTTCTCTTGGAACACAATAACATTCCAGGAATATTTCTGGTGTTCATGGTTTTCCGGTTTAGTTGTAAGTCTAAATCTTTAGTTTTTCCTACCTAGGCATTAGTCACAGCCATAGTTTAAAGTTGCCTGTACTGCATGATTCCATTGCTTACCTAAAATATCGATTGTCGTAGTCACAACCAGGAACGGAAAAAAGAAGCCAATCGCAATACTCCATTTATGTCTTGCCGTTCCTGGAGGGTCGCCGACGTTGTAGCTTTCGATCGATTATAGACAACGGCGTTTAAAGCGAAGAAAAGAAACATTGAGGCGGTTATAAGTTAATTTGTTTAAAAGAAGTGCTAAATGGAGATCGGTCGCTCTTTAGAGGTTTGTCATAAATTAGGGAGCTGGAGCAAAGACGTTTTTGAGTAACGCACTTTAACCGGAAGTGGACTTTTGGCATTCTTGTACAGTGATTTTGCTCCAATTTTTGGGTAAATCGTCTCTATAATAGTAAAGAAACTTAGCAATACAAATTTGTTAGCGTCAAGGCATGTTAAAAGGGAAAAGGCCTCACTTCCGGTTGACATGCGTCGCTCAAAAACGTCTTTGCTTAAGCTTCCCCACTTTAGCAGAAACGTTACTGTATTTTGAAACAAACTCGCGACGGGGGTACCGTTACCGATCCACAGTCAGTCATTACCTTCCAGGTCGGACTTAAATAAGTGGCTGCATAATCGAGGTTCAACTGTACTAGCTGATTACTATAAGTAAATGACTCTTGACCGATAGATGGTCAATAATTATAATTTTAATTTGACAAGAAGTTCTTTAGGCGTGACATTTACTTTTCTTTCTTTTATCACCCAGGCGGTGCAACTACAGAGAGCTTGGCTCCTTTGCTCCGAGTCCTTCCATTCAGTTCCCTTCTGTGGCAAGTACTAAGTGGAACAGCTCGCAATGAGATAACACTTTCTGATAAGCTTCCCTCGAACACCTCTTGCATAGTCAATGACAGTTCAAGTCTCCTTTACGACTCTTGGTTCCAGAATCTCTTGATGGCTTCTTTGAAGAAAGAGCCGATGTCAAAAACCATTCCTCTTTGTCGGTATCTCCTCCTACATTTACACTCCTTGAAATCAAAACTGTTAACTGTTACCGTTTCAGTCAGGCAAGACAATCTCCAAGCTGCAATGTTGTTGTGTTTTGAACTGCTTCAGTCTCTGATACAAAGATTGGTAGAAATCCGAGAGAATTCACACAAAACAGATGCAAATGCGCTTGACGCAAATACTGATGATTTTGCTCGTAGTTCAGATATAAAGCATACTGTCTCTGAAACGGATGATAATGGTTTAAGTGACATGGAATACATGATCTGCACTGTTTTTCACCATCCTGTAATCCTAAGCTGCTTCCTTTGGTACCCAGAGCAGTCACTGCCACGCACCTCTCTTCAGGATGTTGCTGTTCAGCTTACATATCATGTATCCAACCTGCTTCTTGCTCTGCTCCCAAGTCTAACCCGGCAGCAGAAGAGTATCTTGATGGCTCCTTTTGTTAAGAAGTTAATCAGTGCTGGAATGTCCGAAATTCAATCTGCAGAAGATGGAAATGGTAATAAATAGTAAATACGCGTACTTTGAATCGGTAGCTTTATGCAGCGTAGCTATTTCAGCTGATTAGTATTGCTGGAGGAATGGTTCTTGCACAGCCTCGCTATTGTTCAAGCTTAAGAGCATTTTATGGGGTTTCCATAGAGTGGTTCTGGTGGGTCATTTGCACAATGATGTCATTTGACTACAGCTACTAGAATCCTTCATTTTTTTTATGTGCAGATCAAGGCTATTGTTTTAAAACCTCAGTGGGATTTACAAATTTGAATAAGAAAGCAAAACCGAATTCTGGTAGTTGTAGTTAACTGACGTCATCGTCAAAATGGCCGGCTATTGTAGTAATATTGTAATTGTATTACTAAGCTTAGTGATTGGCTGAAACATATCACGCGCCACTTCCTCCAACAATCAGTAGAAACTCAAAACTATTCTTGACTTACTTGACGTCATTTTTCCGCGCTTGGTATTGTCTGCTATTGTTTCAATATCACACCTAGACTGGACACCGATTTGACTTGACTACGTATGAAATCAAAGCTATGTAGTTGTTGTTGTTTAAAAAAAAATCACGGGGAACTAATGTGCATTTATTCCGTTACAGAGACGCCATACTCACAGACATTCTATCTCCTTGGACTCTTCCATAGCTATTGCGACAAAGAAGAGCGAGTGAAGTTGATATCCAGTTTATGTAAGCTGCCTCCCAGCTTTTTGTTGGCAATAGATTCATCAACCAAGGAGAGGACGCCAACTGCATTTCTTCTCACTCTTCTGAAATTCTTAGAAGGAACATCACCATACGAAGACAGATATTCTCATCCGTCATTCACTTTCTGCAAAGATGTAATATTAGAGAGAGAAGAACCGCTTTCAGTGTCGCATTTCATGCAGCTTGTCAAGATTTCAAAGGATGTAAACTGCTCTCAATTAGACTCTATTGTTTTGAAGCTCTTGCAGGCGTCTTTGGCGTATGTGCAAGCTTCAACAGCGACTGTCTTAAATTCTTGTCTTCTTCACCCAACAGAAGTTAAAGTTTCAATCGCTTCATATTTGGTCACACATTCTCCTGCCTTGAGGTCGCATTTTGAACTTTGTTGCTTGAGCAGATCAAATTCTAGGAAGAAAGTAAAAGGGAGTAACAGTAGTTCAGTAGTTTCTATAGAATTCAAGGATCATTTGAGAGAATTCGTTCCGCTAGTTTCATCCTACCTTTTGTCCGTCCGTGGAGTGACTGGTGAGGGTAAGTTCACTCTATGTCCGTTGAGCAACTGACAATTTGCCACTTTAGGTACGAGAACTGAGGAACCAGGGCCGAGTTGACTTTCGCAAAGACTTTTGGGATTGTGACGAGGGACTGGGTCAGTATTAGATCCCATCGGCCTAAACGCCTTGGGCACCTTATGAAGTTTACACAACGTAATATTCTTTATTGCTTCTGCACTGCACGTAAATGAAATTTCCAAGTTTCTTGACATTTCTGCTCCGGAAATGTTCATGAAAGTGTAAGTCTCTTCAATTTTTAAGGGGCAAAAAATCAGAAGAGCAAGAGTAAGAATCAAACCCGGAGCGTAGTGTCTGCAGTCCATCACCTACACCACTACGCCACTGAGAATTTGCTGGCGAGCGTTGGTTTGATTTGAAGCTATATAGCAACGACCTTAACCCTAAATAGAAGCTAACCGTTTCGAGTCAGTGCTTAATCCTAATCACTATTTTCATTGCTTAACCCAATCAATATTTTCAGGGCTTTACCCTAATCAGTATTGTTGCTTAACCCTAATCACTATAGTCAGCGGTCGAAACCAAAGCGTCAAGGAATAGTAGGTTGTGTAAACTTCGTAAGGTGTCCAAGGGGGTTTTGGCTGATAGGATCTAATACTAACCAAAGAATAATTTGGCTTCTAGCTTACCGGGGTGTCCCCTGTAACGATCCCAAAGACAATAGCCGGACGCTTTTCGGCTCCAGGGCCCTACTCCCCTCTAAACTTTCAAACTGACTACATAGCAATACAAACGCTAATTTTCTTTGTTACTGAATTTACCACAGTGAACATATGCAATGAAATTTTTTTTTTGACAGCAATACTCCGTTGCTTCATGTCGTCTTGGTGTCGGCCATTACGATGGAAAGATTTCCGTACAACCCCACAAATTTATTGTGTATGCAGCAATCTCATAATTTCACACAAATAGTAAATAAGAATAAAGTATAAACATGTATGCATGTATGGAGCTGAGCGGAAATCATATCATAAAGTGTTGCACGTTTTTAATATCATATCATGAAGTGTTTCACGTATTTGATGGCAGTTTTCAGCAAAATAGTAAGGTTCAGTTCCAGAGTTCTAGTAAGGCAGGTTCCAACTTTAATGTCAAGATTCGCTTTAACTAGACAGTTTTGTATGACACTACTTTACAGTTAAAACTCCAAGACACGGCAAACGTTAACTTGTTTGTTAGCATGTATTTGCTTATTTTACACAGTCTTTTTTTCATTTTTACATCTTGTCAGGTAAAACCAGAACACGAGCCGTGATCTCACACCTGGTTGAAGCGTACTGGGATCCACTATGGGGCTGGCTCGTTAATAACAGAGAGGGAATTTTCAAAGCCTCAGAGGTTAGAGATTTTCTAGAAAAACAGAACATCAGAACGTTAAATAAAGACTTAAGATGCAACCAAATGCAAGCGTACTCACTCAATGTCATTGCTAAAAAAAAGTCTCCAAACCCTCGCCTTAACATTTTCAAATTTACGTCAAAATTCATTGAAGAAAATTCCAAATTCCCTAACAGTAACTTCATCACCAATTTTTCTGTTTTTGTTCTCCTTTTTCATTTTGCCGTTCCCCTGCTCGTTCTTCGTTCCCCGTTTTATGAATTTTTAAATTATATGTCTTCTGCTTTGGTAAAGCATTCATATTTAAGGATTACGCGCCAATCTTGTCACTGTGAGTTGGTTTTGAAAAGTACACTTACTCTTAAGGTATTGCAATAGTAGTTAAATACTTCAGCTAGTGTTCTTGTTGATGTTACAGGAACCATGTGTGGAGTTGATTATCACTCTTGTTCACAGCATGGAAAAAAGAGGTTAGGTCTGCTACGTAACTGATAGAGCCACCTTAAAATCAAAAGGTCGATTAAAGGAATACAGAATTGTGCTCTTTAATAACTGACATGGCGAGCAGGGTCAGTTGATTTTGAGGGAGCTTCTGGGCCTTCATAACTCACTGTTAACGGCAATCAGACGAGATTCTCAAAGAAGCTCTGGTAACCAGCGAAAAGCACCGTCGCGCCAGCTGCTTAGAATCAATAATGTTTACGTGGTATTTGTTTCACAATACTTTTGGTTGATAAACCAAACGTATTATGCATTTAAAAATCAGGCAAATAGGTACGTAAAGGTGCCGTTATCGTGAATAAACTTCTTTCGCTGTCAACCCTGAATCAAAATGATGTAAAATGCACTTTTCAGGGCCCCCAAGATTATCCTGTGACCCCCCTCCCCCCCCCCACCCACACGCCTCCCCTCAACAGGCTACCCCATGATTGGAATTTTCCCGGGGCAGGGGGATGACCCCTTCCCTTCCCGTGTATCTCTTAAGGAGTTTGTTGTTCCAATCACTCTTCTTTCTTTCTTTTTTTTTTTTTAACTTTTATTACAGCTGACATTCTTAGGATGAGGTTTAATGACCTGTTGACGAAAGCTTCCCTATGGGACAGGTACGTAGTCTATCTGGTCATCTGATTAGCTGTTTCCTATGTGATTTTAATGCAGTTTATTTTTTCCCCTGAATTTCACTTCTGTTTTGCAGTTACCAGTTAAGAATTTGTTACCAACTTTTTATGTGCCTTTGTCGTGACTGCCCTACCAATGAGGAGACCGCTGATTTTAAAAGCAAGTACTGCTTTGCCTGTATGGAATATTTATCCGGCTCTTTCAATGGAAAAGGTAAATGTTTGTCTCGCCTTTTTACAGCCAACTTACGCTTGTAAGTTGGTTTTCATGTCAGGGAAAGGAATCCCAAAGTGGCCTCGTATTCTTGTTCTGAGAGAGAATGCGTAACGTGTGACACTTCCTCAAGTATTTTTAAAATCATATTAGGGCTTGACTGTACACATTTCCGCCCATACTATGATCGTTGCTAATGGAACCGCAATCAAAACTGATTGTTTGTTTGAAGTGCCTACGTCTTCTGTCACTAGTGAAAGTGTTTACCCTGATTTTGCTGCAGTGTTTAGAATTCTTCTGGTTCAAGACTTACCACAGCAACTGACCAGCACTTTTTTCATATTTGTAGGTAGCACAAAGGATACTGAAAATGCATTTGACGATGCTTTGGTTCATTTGGAATCTATTTGTAAGGTACTTGACACTGACTTATATTAGGATCACCATGAGTTGCACGCTAGTTTGTTATGATAATAGCTAAAGTTCAGGATGGGAAAGGAAAAGAAGCACAGTAGCGAATGGGAGTCCAGCATTGTTTCAACATAAACATGTTTCTTCTAAATTTATCTGTGTAAAAAAGTCAGCGTATTATTGATTAATGATTCGCGATCGTTCTTATTAACACTGTATGTGCCTCTATTTATGTAGAATTCAGATGCATATATGGTCGGTGATAAGAGTTGTTATTCAGTGTGGAACAGCTTTGTAACGAACTGTTTGAGGTATTTATCCATTTATTTCTGTTACAATGTAGCCAATCCAAGAATGTTCAGCTCAACGCTCTTTCCGATTAATGTAGAATTTAAGGTAGTATAAGTGCTTTTCAGTGAACAATCTTACACGTCTTTGGTTTGCATTTACATGAGCATTGTTAATTGGGCACTTACCATCATGCGGAATTATTGTTTGTTTCATAACAAAGGGGCTTCCAACTTTCCTCACTTGCAGCCAATGGCTGAATTGCGGAGGAACCAGAGAGGTGAGATCGGACGTCAGATTTTAAAGGCGCGCTATGCTGCCTCATCACTCCATGTGTGATCTCACCTCACCCACCCAGATCAATGACGGCACACGTCAGATAGACCATGACACCGGGGCGTACGTCTCCTACTCTTTTCGAACAATGTCACGGGTTCTTTTCCGACTGATGTAAAGGATGGAGGAGACAAGGCCAACGGCGTAACGTCACCGCCAAATGACGCGATAATCTGTACTAAGAAAGGGGTTTTTAGTAACAGCTAGCATGATCTCACCGCATTTTAAGAACCTTGGATAATAGTCCCGCTGGAGTGTGAACTGAGGACCTCCCGCGCTGCAGACCGACACGCTCTCAACCTACCTGGCCGGGCTGCGGTATGGTTGCTATTGGTTGGTGCTTTTCTTTCCTCGCTCAAGGTTGCTGGCCTTCCAACCTGGCCTTTCGTCCTGGGAGCTGTATTCTCAGTGGTCCAGACCATCATGTACCTACCGGCTGCTTTGTGATCTGATGGTGGGTAACCTGTTCCAAGCGTCTAGATGGTGGGGACGGCGCAAAGAGATGTCTGTCTGCTCAGCATTTTGCGTTGCTCTCACCCTTATGATCCCCAGGAACAGGGTAGATGGTGGGCGCATATGCTCCTGAAATCTCTATTCCTTTGTCCCTGTTGATAACAGAGGAAAGAAGACGACAAATATTTGTGTGACAAGTGTGACTGTAATTATGTCCTTCCATCAAACTTCACCTTCCTTTAAACAGATCTTTTTGTAAAAGACCAGGAAAGAGTAATTTTAAGTGAAGATCACGACAAACCATGCAAGTAATCGCCCGTCACGTTTGTCACACTCAACCGTTTTTCCTTCTTGTTGCGTAAGCTCTCTATTGTCTCGGGAAGGTCTCCTATCATCACAGTGGACATTAAAACAAAGTTAAAACATCGGCCACTACAAGAGCTAGCCTTTTTTGCGCGTCACGAAGAGTACGGTACGTGACAAGCTGTGTTCTGCCTTGTAGCAATACATTTGAACCATTTCTGATGTGATTTGTTTCTTCCACAGGTATAAATTTGAAAGCGCCAAAGTTCTTACAACTTTGAGATGTCTTATTAAAGCAATGTACAGGAAAGCACCGGGCGAAAAGAAACAGTCTGACACTCTCCTGCCCCTGGACACTTTGTACGAAATGCTGATAAGCCATTCTCAATTCTTGGACGTGATTCTAAGTGACGGGCTATCAGGAAACAAGGACGCAAAAGGTGTGTTCGCATCTAACAGTATTAATATGTTATAGTATCACTGTAATAATCGCTGCCGGTTACCGGCCAAGAAAGATTTTCTGGCCAAGCAGAAAAAGAAATTCAAATGTGTCAGGGACTGGTTCATTTAAAGTAAGTGACCAGGGGCTGTGTTATAACTTGCATTCTCTACAGATTGCCTCCGATCTCTAACAGTTGGTATTACAAAAAATCCTTATGTGATTGTCTGTCGTTTTCATACGTTTTAATTCTGTTTTTCTCCTTTGTTTTGGTAGTTACTTTGGCTACGTTGCACAATAAAGGTTGGTTTTCACTAGCGTCGGAGTCGGAGTCGTAAGCGAAGTCGTAAGAGCGCTTATGACCTAATTAAGATTAAAAATCTGAGTCGTAAGCGAAGTCATAAGGCCGACGGAATCAGAGTCAGAAGAATCAAAACGTTTCCTTTCTTCCGACTCCTTTTACGACTCCTTCGCTTACGTTCCACTTATGATCTAGTGAAAACCAGATTGTCGAAGTCGGAAGCAGAAGCAGAAGGATAAATCAATCACAATGCACCTTCCCCCGCATTTTGATTGGTTTAGTTCTTCCCTTTGTGCTTCCGACTCCGACAATCTGGTTTTCACTAGATCATAAGCGGAACGTAAGCGACGGAGTCGTAAGCGGAATCGGAACGCTGTTTTCAGTAGATAATAAGCTATACGCATCTAGGCACGACTCCGACTGCGTCGCTAGTGAAAAGCAGCCTAAAAGATCTTTAAACCTTCCTGATTTTAAGAGTAAGAGGGCATCATCAATTTTCAAGGTTGAATTGTGTTTTGTATTCTTACAGAATCCCTCACGGAGCTGATGGTTACTATAGTAGTTTTAAGTCCTAGCTGTTGTAAGTCGTCACACTTGCCTGTGCTTTTTGCAGCTTACTCAGCCTCATTATCTATCACAGGTAAGGCAACGTTTTCTACACATGTTCGTTCTTGACAGTCAGCATACCTAGCCAATTTTATTAACCAGTCAGATCTAGAGGCAACTGAGTTTTAGTCGACACATAGGGAAGGAAACAGCAAGCAGACAATTCACGTTTGATTTTGGTTCAAACAATGGAGAGGTATTTTCAAGCCAATCGCATCATCTTCATCATAATCTTCATCATCATCATCATCATCATCATCGTCATCAACATCATTAACATCATCGTCATCAACATCATCGTCATCATTATCATCATAATCATCACCATCATCAGCCGACCACACTGCAGTTCGCGTCGAGTTTCCTTAATCCTTCCTGCCTTGTGTCCTACTCCTATTCTCTTCTGCCAGTGGTGGGTAGACCTCTCTGATCACGTGGGCAATGAATTTACGGACCATCAGCTTTACTTGACAGATTTTGCGGTTTCCATTCATAGGCTGGAAATGTGCTTTTTTATTTACCAGCTCTATCTCGGGTGTCCTGAAAATGTGTCCTAAATTGTAAGCTGTCGTTCCTGCGAATTTGCTTTCACACTTCACTAAAACCGGTTTAACATTGGGCCAGTTTGTCCCACTTAATTGGTCTTTAAGGTTAACGCATTTTTAGTTTCCCTCGTGACCTCGTTATTTGTGCGATAAGCTTCTGAAGTTAATGCATTTGTTTCTAGATCAGTGCATTCTGTACTTGATGAGTCTTTACGAGAAGAACCACGCATCATTTAAAGACTACAGGTATTTTTAAAGATTCTAAAGATATAGTTGAATCTTTTCTCACGCACACGTCGCTATTATGGATGGCTTGAGAAAACAGCCGACATATCGCGACACCACCACTGATTTCTCCGCGAAATAACGTCTGAGAAACGAGTACAGAAATTCCATACTGATGACGCGTTACTACCCAGATTCTGATTGGCTAAAACTTTTATTTAACCGTGCTCCCATATTATGGAGTAAACGAATCGACGAAGGCCACGCCTATCCTTGAAGTTACTCCTCAAACTTCAAAAGAGAACTTTCTGCTAGTAGTACAAAGTAGTAGGAGACAGTTAAAACCCTTCTACGGGGTTCTAAGAGATTTACAAAAGGCTACTAAGTATCATGCACGAAGAGCCAAGGATAATTAATCAAATAAATATAATTATAAAATAACTAAGATAGTACTCGCGCTCTGATTGGCCGAGCGGAGTGTTTACATGAGAGTATGTAAACATGGTTGTGGCGTTAAGTTGTTTGGCTTTTCGCGCGCTAACACGCAAGCACGATTTGAAAAAGTTTTCGAGTTCAAACCTCGACAAGTTTACTTTATTTACCCATTCCTTCGTCGGCTGAAACATGGAAAATCTTTACAAAGAAGGTGAATCAATTTTTCTCCGCTTAAGCTGACATTTTAAGCGAGAAAAATCCGTATTTTGCAAAGCATCTTTTTGTAACCCCTCTAGTGTTTATATCAGGCTATGCAAACACGCAAAACGTTTTCTATTGCTTAAATGTTGTTACTGTAATACCGAATGTGAATGAACTTCATTCGGCATATGAATTGTTAAGACATTTCAGCCAAAGGTGGTATATATCGGAAAGCAAAGCAATCTTGATCTCTTCCCCCTCGACTGTTTTTTTCTCACTGGCAGCTTGATTAGCGCCACAACAGTGTTTGGAGGTGGGGGTTGGGGACGCTGGGGAGGGAAAGCTTGCTTTTCCCTTTTTGAAGTAAGTATTGTCGCCAATATTTTAGACTCGTCGTTGAGGATAAAGTGTTTTTAGTAGTGTTCTCGTCTATTGTTAGGATTCGACTCTGATTCTTGACACATATATCAACGACTCTTAGGGTCTTTATGACCCGTGTACTGCTCTGTAAACATGTCACCTTGGAACAGTTCCGGTTATTTTCTCGTCTTATTACAGACCATTCCTTTGGGGCCCCGCTGCTGCTAGCCATCATCAGGTTTCGAGAAGCCTGGGTCCTTCACTATGGCAACAGCCAAGCGTTACTGAGGTCCTGGAACTGCTGGATGCCAAGAAAATGAGTCAGTCAACAGTTTTGTTTCCTCAGACCAGGCTATTGCAGGTTTGTGTAAGACTTAATCATTTACTTTTTCTATTTGAGCTTGCAGAAGGTTCATTTTTGTCAGTCTTGTATTTTTACGCGAAAGTGTGAAGTGGATTGAGTGGCAAGCTAGGAAGGCAAGAGATGCCACAATGATTACTTATGTTGTAACAGGCAAGAACTATAGCGGGAGGTAAAGAGGTTTCTATTTGGTAAAAAATATATTCGCTTAGAGGACAATAACACTGTTTCCAAGATGCGGGGGAGTGCCCGCAGCTTGATCCCGGGAAGAGTAAAGGACAAGCTAAATCTTCAACCTGCGATCATGCGTTCTTTTTCTCGGGGGAGCGCAAAAGAAAAAGGGAGGTAGGACCGCCTGATCGCAGGTTAGCTCAATCTTAACATCCTCTAAAAATAACACAAAATTGCTGAAATTGCGACCAACAAGTTCAAATCTTGCATTCTAATCAAGTTGCTTTATGTTTGTTTGTTTATATGTTGTGTTTTTCAGCCACAAGTCCACCGTGAGGTATCGCAGGAGAAACCCCAAGATGTTTATGACCCTTGTTTCCTTCTTCCGTTATTCAGTTGTATTGTGGCTCCAAGTAAGCAGTTAACCGTATTTTGGTTTTTTGATTTATAATTCAGTATGATATGGATTTTGATCCATACTTGAAACAAAAGTTTACCTGACAAATTTCCTGTTTTGTTTTTTTAGTGCGATTCAATAGGTGTGAAACTTTACTCTGCAAGATTTTTATGTCACGTGAAAAAGTGGCATTTTTATAAGGGGAATCTCTTTATCATTTCTTGTGTGGTACTGTTTGTTTTCAGTCTTAGATAAATCAGCGGTTCTAAAACAAAATAGCGTACGTTGACAAAATTGTTCTGCCTCATAGATTACCAAGTGGACTGTCGAAAGTTCGTGGAACAAGGTTGCTTGAGCTTCACCGTGGCGTCTTTGTCATCACGTGATACACACGTGCGCCAAGCGGGATATCACGTGCTCAGCAGGTTTATGACGCATCTTGAAGGTTCAAGGTTCAAGGAGAGAAAACAGGTCAGTTATTAGCTCCCGAGAATCAGTCCTGATACTTTCCCACTAAGCCTGTAGCCAGTTGCGTAGTTCTTAGGTCACTTTCCATTTGTAAGAACTGGCCGGCTGGACCATTGCCGCACCAGTCAGTTAGCGAATGAAATAGGCTTTTTCCAAAGGGATTTTGCTGAAAAACCATCCTCTTCGTGCATACTATTTAGGATTTGACTGATCTGGCTGGATAGTTTTGATTAAAAGTGAAATGACGGGAATGGTCTAGCCGGTCAGTTCTGACAAATAGAAAGCGCCCTTAAATGTCAGACGTAACAGCTACACCCTCGGACAAAAGCTGTTGAAATACATCGCAAACATGCGTATTATTTGTGTCATCCTGGCAACAATGGAAACCGTCGTCAAGTGAATGCCCATTTACCCTCTTATCCAATGTTTAGGATAACACGAGAATTATAGACGTTGGTTTTCAGACCAAAACAACTTTGAATAGGGGATGGGGAGGGACCTTTCTTTTTCTGTTTAGAGGAGATGGTAGTCTGGTGCAAAAAGTTAGAAAATAGATGGAGCTGTCTCAACAGTTTTGACCAAGGATGTAGCTTCCCAAGTGATGCCCAATCAGCAGTGTTGCAATTGTGTTTACTGAATAGGCCGATTCCTAGTTGCCAAGTGCAAAATCTTTCTTGTAATTTCTGAACGAACTCTTATCCAGTTCTTTTGTTAACATGATCCGTATTTGTGGTCTTACTTCTCAGATTTTTCACCTTTTAAAGTGTTTGCAAAATGGTATCACAGAAGCAAATTACCGCATATCCAGCTTGATGACTTGTTTTGTTGCTCGTGTGACTTTTATTCTGCTGAGACCAGGTACAAATTTCAACCCTTTTCATGTTTGAGTTGCCGTACCTGTTTCTAGTTTACAACTTTAACAATAATTATTTAACTTTCCTTTCTTTATTTATAAAAAGGTCATCATGTACTAATGATAATTGATTCGGTCTCTTTGTGTTTTGTATCTTCCTTTTTGTTAAAAAGGTCATTTTTTAATTTTCTGTTCCCAGAGCATCCTTTTTACCTAATGATGAACAGCTTTCTGCTGCAAAGACCTGCTTTGGATATCCGGGACTTACCTTTGTTTTATCCCATGTTTAACAGCAGTACAATGCAGGTAAGGGGCAGCCTCAGTCTGAACTTTACCCCATTACATGAAATACTTGGCAAGGTTTCGCTTCTGTGAGAAAGCGACGATTATATTGATTTATACTGAGTTCCAACCCACCTCATTGATCCACCCAGGTCAAATGTTGGAGACATTTCTTGTTACGAGGCTGCCTGTGGCCAAGCCCAATAGCATTTTCACTGTCACGTGTCTAAAGCGTCTCTCGTTATTGGGCTTCCTGTGGTAAAGCCCATTTTCTGGTTTCACGTCATCAGTTTTATTTAGCGGGTTTCATTAATCATTACTTGTGGAAACATGTGCAAGGATGTATGTAGAAATTAATTAAGTAATGTGATTACCTTTGCCTTTTCCTTGAACTTCTTTCCGTGGGAAACGCACGGGTGAAATTATGTTGACAAGTGACATCGACAGTAACAACAGTTTCAGTTTCCAAGCACTTAGAATTTTTTCAGCATTCCCTCAAAAATTAAATTAAGTTAACAGCATTTTGGTAACATCTTAAACTTAAGTACCGTATTTTCTCGATTAAACACCGGCCTCGAAAAAAACGCCGGGTTAAAAAATGCCGATTTTTTATTAAACGCCGAGGGCGTTTTATTGGGGCCCCGGCGTTTGGTCGAGGTCACAAGGACCAGTTTCAAGAAAATATTATGTCTTGAACAGCACTGTTACGACACACCAATTACAGTAAGTTGTTTTGGTATGTTAATAAACGTCCAAAGGAAAATTAGCGGCGTAACGTAAGTAGTATGGATGCTGCACAACAAAATGTACAGTACCATAATACTGTAACTTGTGGTAATGTACGTACGGTTATCATCCGAGCAGATCCAGGGACAGGACAAAGGGAAAAATCGCCCCCCCCCCCCCCCCCCCCCCCAAAAAACCCCCCCGGGTCCCCCATATCCCGTAAAAACAAAAAACCTAAAAAAAAAAAAAAAGAGTGCCAAAAAATTTTTCCGCGTCCCAATGGGAAAAAAACACACACCCTCCCACATCTTATTACCAGCCCCATACACCCTCCTTCCCGAATGGTAAAAAAATCCCAAAAAAAAAATAGGGGCGTAACGGAAGTAAGATGGAAGCAGCACAAAAAAAATTACAAGACCAAAAAACTAAAACTTTTGGGAAATTACGTACGGTTATCCTCCCAGCAGATCCAGGGACAGGACAAAGGGAAAAATCGCCCCCCCCCCCCCCTCACCCCCGATAAACTGCCCCTGGGTCTCCGATGATCGGTAATAACAAATCAACTTGAAAAATGACAGAAAGTTGCATGAATATTTTGCCGAGCTCCAGGTGGAATAGAACTCACGACCCTCCGAGTTCTAATTCGGATGCTCTAACCCCTGAGCTCCTGGAGGCACTATGGCGAGCAGGGTGAAAAATTAATTATAACTCCACCAGTCATAGAGGACTGTATCGGGCACTGGCTCGAAATCAGTCGTCCATCAGCGTATAAGAGAAAGACTGTGTCGCACTTTTAACTCTGCTCAGTCTTCCTCTGTCCTCAAAATACAGGTAGGAAATAGGGATTTTAAGCAACGACAACTGCGACGGTGGTGAAGAGTGAAGTCTCCCAAAAAGTGAAATCACGCCGTTTCAAAATTGATCGCTCTTATTCCATGTCATTCAGTTGGTCAAATGTTGGTGAATTTTTCTCGAGTTGAATTCTGAAGGGCTGTATCTAAATTTTATAAAACGAATTAGAAAATAGTTGTCTTGTGTCCACGTCCTCGAGAAAAACGTGAAATTAGGCAGTTAAGAAATTTACCAAAAAGCCTGATGCACGTGCAAAAGTTGTTGTTTTGCTAATCGAAACGTTTTGCTTTTTTGCCGTTGTCGTTGCCATCGTCGTCGTCGTTGTTTGAGTCTTGTCCATATAATCTCTCATATGATCACCTCACCTATCATGTAAACGTGATCAATTTAAAATGATAGATTATATGGACAGGCGGGTTACCTCATCTACTTAGGGTCCCCCAGCTCCATGTAAACAGGCCCTAAGTCAAAGTTAATTGTAATTACACCAAACACCAAACCCTTTTCGCTGTCACTGAAATTACGCCATTACTATTCAAGAATGCTGAAAACTCGTATTGATATCGCTTTCCTTAACAGCACGTGTCTGAGCGGTCGTGGATGCTACAGTTGCTTGTAGATGGAATGAAAGACAGTCCAGATTATTACTTGTACAAACGACGTCACGTGATTGAACTAGCACTTAGTTACCACGACTCACCAGTCAGCGATCAGCATTCTCAGGTGAGCTGATAGGCCAGGTTCGAATTATCATAATTCATACTTGGTTCCGAGGCTGACGGAAATAAAACAGAAGAAATGAATTATTAATCTCTGAATCTCAATGAGATTTTCTCCGATTTATTTCCCTGTAGAACAGTCAGTATCAAATTCCTCCTTGTCATAACAACGCTTTATAAAACAGAGTAAGAAAATGGGAGATAGCAGGTATCCAACCCAGTCCGTTCGGCTCCGAAGGTTACGAGTCACTGCACGTACAAGAACAATAGAAATGACCTACATCTGTGCATTCATTCTTACGCCGACGATAGGAGAGCCTTACTGGCTATAATCCAGTAAGGGAATACTCGTGATGTAGCGTAAAACAAACCAGGAATTATTGCCTTTCACGTTTTAGAACAATTCAGAACAATTACTGATATGACCCTGATAAAAGGAAGGTAGTGCGCGTAGTGTAACATGATAAAGGCCTTCCAGTTACCGGGCTTAGGCTCGTTAATTGATGCTGACGTAATGCTGATCGTCCAACCTTGGTGTTTAATTTTCTTTGTTATAAATATTTTTTACCTGAATCGCGCGGACCGACACAGGTATCCATCTGTCACTCGTGTTCAGTGCCTTAAAAGTGATCAGAAATGTTCTTTTTTTTTTTCCTTAAAGAACCTTGTGACTGAATTGTTGCAATCGACTATAAAGATTCATCCAGCCGCCTACGATCTAGCCAAAAACTTTAGCATTGTTGCTTGGATCCATTCTCTGTGTTACAAAAGGTAGGTGTAATAAATATTTTAACTTAGTTTGTTAAGGAAGAACTCGTATAGAGAACAGAGGAAGAATGAAGCGTGACATATGTGTCCGAGAAGATCGCGCCGAATAGGGCTGAATGATTATTTTCGTATATGTCCAACTTGTGTGAATCTAAAACAAGGTGCCCAGATCTTCAAAATGAGGTTCTGGTTAGCGATTGAAAATTACTGTCTGTGCCCCTTTCTTCATGAACTTTGCTCCACCACGCGCAGGAGTAAGAGAATCTGCCACAGGGAATCCAGTATCTGAGGCTACTATGAGATACTATGAGAGGGAGTGGTGAAGAATGGGTCTTCTTTAGAAGAGAGTAGGAAACTGGGCCTAGTTACCTTTCGCAAAGACTTCTGGGATCGTTACCCTGTAAAACTCCCAAAAGTCTTTGCGAAAGTAAACTCAACCCATTTCGTTTTTCGGTTCTAATAATAGAGAGACGATTTTGCCTCAAATTAAAGCTTCACGGCGAAAATAAAACGCGCACTCGAAAACGTTTACTCTATCTAAGGTAATGGTGTAATGGTGAATACAGAATGAGTGGGGGCACTTTTTACCCTAAGAATACAGCCGCCTATCCTCGCTCCCCCGCGTATAAGAGGCAGGATTCGCAGGCTAGGCACTTCTTTTCCCAAATGAACATATCTGTCAATAAAAGTTAATTAAAATACGTTTTATTCCTATTTAAGTCCCGAAAGACTCTCCACAAGTCTAAGATTGCTTCGCACATTATGGTTTACATTGTACAATGGAAGCCTTGAAAAAAAGAATGAAAGTGTAGAAGGCAATAGCGGAAAGGAATTGCGCCAAGAATGGAAAGCTGTTCGTCTGCCTCCAAATGTGGCTCAGGAATGCTTGTTAGTCTGTTGGACTATTTTAAAGGATCTCAGGTATGAGAGCTGTTTAGGTACGTGCAAACGGACGTAACAACTCCCAACACTGTGTGGAGTTGTTGTGTCCGTGTGAGTGGCTAACAATGTTAGGACCTGCAGTGCATGGTGGGAAGTATATAACCCATAAGACTTTGTGAACTCCATGGAGACCATGTGTAATGCGCGTGCGTGGCCCCAACAATTTTGGAAGAGCTGTGCAAATGGATCCAGCATTGTTGCGCTACCCTTCGGTGATCACAGAACAAAAGAAATGTTGGGAGTTGTTGGCTGAAAAATTTGACCGGTTTCAAACTTTGCGCAACAACACGCAACAACATCCAACAACATGCAACGTGGGGTAATTGACCTAACATTTAACATCCAACAATGTTGGGAGTTGATGGTCCGTTTGCACGTAGCCTGACACATAAACTCAGGCAAAACGTTCCTCAAAGACAGGGAGTGCATTTGTACGAGCGTTTTCTTTTTGTTGTTGTTGTTGTTGTTGTTGTTGTTGTTTATTCTCCTTTTCGGCATTTTGCTGTATTGTAAAAATTTTACTTTTGTCATTTAAAACTCAGTGGGAAAGCCAAATGTAAATATTGAAGAATTGACGAAGTGGATTCTGGTGACGGATGTAGTAAAATGTCGTCGTCGTGGAAATGGCCCGTTGAGATTTCTGATACTCATCACATTGTTTCCTTGAATTTTTCCAGATCGCGACACAATGCAAGTGATACTTTTACCTACTTAGAACTGCTCGCATCCATCACTAGTTATCTGGCAACCACTGAGCAGTCTTTTGGCTTGTCACGTGATCGTGTAGTGAGCTTGCTATGCTTGTGGAGTGCGTCGTTTGATGAGACCATGTTTCTCAAACAGCTGCTCTCATCCTTAAAATTCAGTCGAGGGTGCGACAGTTCTGGCTCCAAGAACTCACCTTGCGCTGATTCTGATTACAGAAAAGCCAAGACAGACAGTTTATCTTCGTTATTAACGATACTCACAAAATGGAAGCCCTCTCCAGGCGAAGGAGCGAGGCAAACGGTACTCCTTGTTTGGTGGTTTGGTTTGGCGTGCTCTGCTAAGTCATATATGGACCAAGAGACTGATAACGTTTACTTTCAAAGCGGTAACAACGATACTGGAGATCGCCTCCTATCACTTCTTCTTTGGTTCAGAAAATGTATCTTGCGGGACCGGGAATTTCAAGATCACTTAATACACAACCCCACAACAGGCAAAACCCTTATCTTGCAACTTTATCACGTGGTGTTGTCGCATAACAAGGCAGGCCTGTTGCAAAACACGGAGGGTCGAGGCATTTCTTCATATGAATTAGTAAATGAAGTAAACTTGGTTTGTTTGGTTTTGTTTACTGCTGTCAAGCGCCTTCTTAAACAAAACACAAAAAGACCAACGTCATTGCAGCCAGCAATTTTCCAGCTTGTGTCACAGGAACCCTACAGTAGCATTATCAGCGAAGGGTTGGAGAAAGTGATTCTCCCGTTACTTCCTGACCCCCGTGGAGAAATGGAACAAGCTAGCTGCCTTCCTGTGCAAGGTGGGTAGAATCTTTTAACCGTAAGGAATAGGCCATTTCCGAGTTTCTCCAAGCCTCTGTTTCAAAGCGAGGCTAAGTGCAAAGCAACTGATGTCTTATTGTCATGCAACTAAAACTCATTTCCCAAGATGAATTCTGCACTTAGCCTCGTTTTCAAAAAGAGGGTTTTTGGAACTCGGAAATGGCCTATCCTAGCGCGCTACCGACTCAGCTACTCTATTTTTATATATAAGAATGTTGTTTTTCCGGCCCAGGCTCAACATTCTCATTTGTCTGCCGATTTTAGGCTGAAAATATTCTTCTTGTATTATTCTTAAATTATAGCTTATGACCTTTCCGTTTTAAAATATATTGGGGGTATGAATTATCGTAAGTGCAGGTTTTTTCGTTTTGTAAGCTAGTTTTGCCGTTTTGACAAAGGATTAAGTCAAAAAACATATTATTGGTATTGTATTTACAGATTTCAATACACAAAATTATGTCCGTTTCAAAGTCTCAGCCTGTGGTTTATTCTTACGACATTCTTAAAATTTCGCAAATTTCAGCCTCGGTATGTTTATAAATATATTCTTACAGAGCGTAATTAGGCAACAGGGACCTGGATTCTGCAGATTTGTCGCACCCTAATTCTTTTCCCAACGTTTATTTCAAACTAGTACTTCTCTTGTTTTGTTTCAGATGGTGTTTTGCTAGACTTGGTCTACCTATTCATGCAAGACTTTTGGACGGAGAGGCCCATTCCACGCCAATTCCTCTCATTCTTGCTCAGCCACAGTGACACTGGGTGCCCTGTGGTAGATTCTCTTACCCTTGCACTTGGTGGAACAAACGTTATAAAGAAATGGGCACAGAAACAAGATGTTTGACAGCTTTTATCAATTGCTTACCAGGACCTCTCCTCGGTGATGTGGGCACGTTGCTGTAGATTCAAGCAAATTTGTCGCTTTCGACGATATTTCATTTTGAGTAAAGACATTCTAGTCTACGTTAGGCAAGAAGGAATCTGACTGATGGTCAGTTCTGTTTCAGCTAAAAGAATGAAGTACCAAGGACGATCGACATACCGAAGATACTTCACTCTTGTGTACGTAATGCCGCAGACCCCTCGCTTCGTTGTCCGCGCGAATTGGGAATGTCATGACTCAAAGTAGGGTCCAGCTCTGACCGAGCTAGGAACGCCTTAGGCTGTCAAGGACCCAGTCCCTTAGACGTTCGCCGCGAGGCAAATTTAAGATTTATCAGTGTCTTCTCTCATTGCCCTTCTCACATTTCTGTGTTATCGCGTAACTCGCGCTGAGGGTGAGGGGTAAAATAAAAGACATGAAACCTCATGTGAAAAGATGACTTGTATTTATAATTTTAAAAGTACAAAATATCAAAAATCAAGAGACTTAGCAGAGCTGCTGTTATCTCCGCCACTGGGCTGACTGGAACCACTATCAGCACTACTCAAAATTTCAATCTAAAGATGAAGAGATCAATAAAACTATGAGTACGATATGTTTTAAACGATTAATTAATTGAATACGATCTAATCAAAAGGAATCTGAAGGAAAAACAGAAGAGTTCTAAATGAGTTGGCTTATACTCAAACAGAACACAAAACTGGAGAAACCCAAATATAAAAAATTATGAGACTAAAATTTCAGTGAATTAAGGAAAATTTCCCAAAGACTAAATATCTTAAAACCAGTGTCATTCAATCCGGACATGAAATTCTCATTGGCGTTACCCTGCGAGCAGAGGCTACATTTTCGCGGTATGAGCTGGCGTGCACTTTTCTCATACCGCGAAAATGTAGCCTCTGCTCGCAGGGTACAATGGCGTCTCATCGAAGAAAAAAACTTAGTCGCCCTGATGCTTGTCCCTGGGCTCTAGCAGCGGAGAAGGTCAGGTGGATCTCGGTGGATCTTGGTGGATCTGATAAGAACCCTAACTTCCCTTGCTGAATTCTGGGTAACTTACCTGAGCTTTGGTTGTTTTTCCAATACCCAACCTGAAGAACAAAAGAGTCCAAAGATTATGAAAAGCGACTGCAGTTCCAAGCTAAAAGCACTTCTGCCCAAACCAACTAGAAAACTTTGACGTTTTCTCAAGAAGCCTCCACGTCTACCGGATAGCTTAGTTATTTTCAAGGTTCATCTATCACACCCAGTTTGAAAGGGTGCCAGTGATTTTAGCAGACATACTGGTCCAGCGCACGGTGTAGTAAGGGCCACCAAGAAAACATTTGTTCTATGGTTCCCTGTGTAACTTATCCAATAGGCCATTTCCGAGTTGCCACAAGCCTCTGTTTCAAGGGCGAGGCTCAGTGCAAAGCCATTGATATGAAAATGATTTTTCCTCTTGATGCAAAAGAAACTCATTTTCACAAGAAAGGGTTTTGCACTTAGCCTAGTTTTCAAAGTGAGGGTTCTTGAAACTCGGAAATGGCCTTTTTCGCTACCATACCTTGGTAGTCCTTTATTCAATCCCTCTAGAAGTACACACGCCTTACACAAAGGCTGACTTGAGATATATCCACACCTCTTGCAAATACCTACAGCATCAGACAAGTAAGCGTTAAAAACCTTCGATCTTTACTTTTCTCTTGCAGTGAATGAAATCGTTAAGCTTCGTTTATGCTTTCAGGTTTAAGCATCAAAACTCTGGATGGCTTTTATATTTGCAAAAAGCACACACACCTCTATGGAGGAAGCCTGGCACTAGAAATCCACACAAACGGTACAGAAAATTTCCGTCTTTTCGGCAAAAGCGGGAAAAAAGTAACACCTCGGAAGACATGTATCACCTTTTTCCGAAAAATTTCTACGGGATGACGCCTTCCATTTGAATTCTCATTGGAATTACCGGGTTATCCATGCCATAGGCCATTTCCATGATGATGACGACATTTGACTGCAACTACAAACCGTAAAATTCCGAAAATAAGCCCCGGGCCTCATATTTTTCAAAGACCCAGTTATTGAGGGGCTTATTTGTGGAGGGGCTTATCTACGGAGGGAAATTTGCGTTTCAAAATCGATTGGGCTAGCCTTATAGTTGGAAGGAAATTTACCGTTTTTGCTTTGTTTTACTTTGTATTTGAGGGCAATTTCCAAGTACAAGCCCCCGGGCGGGGCTTATATTTGGAGGGGCGATTTAACAGAGGGTTTTTTGCTTTACGAGTTTGAGGGGCTTATAATCGGAGGAACTTATACATGGAGGGGCTTATTTTCGGAATTTTACGGTTATTTGTACCAGAATTAATTTCGTTTGTCATTTCCGCTGAGGTTTAAAGACAATAACCCAATTTGCACAAGAAGGCAACAAATTGAAGAATTCTTGTGGTTGTGGTAAAATGACGTCATCGTGCAAGTATCCTATTGTAAAGCCCTCCTTACACATAATTTGTATTTTCTTAATAAATTTGTGAATGAACGTTTCAAATGTAAATGCAGCACGCGCATTCGTCTTCTTAGCCACTTGGGTTCAACAAGTACTCTGTAGGAACGAGAATGACGTTCACGTTAACGTGGCAAACTTCTAACTTCCCAAACAGGTAAGCGTATTGATATTCTTTACTCTCTGCAGAGTTTAAGTAACTTTGTTAAAATTCTCCATTTTGGACTGAACAGTAGCCAGAGTTGTTGGAAACAGCACGACATTTAATATCCATTTGAACATACCGGGGTCTTGCACGAGTAGTGTTTTATAGGGGCTTATGAAAGCGTTTATTTGAAAACAGGTACTCGATAAAAGGGCGACAAATATACGCGTTTGCCTCAAACAAATCCACCCTTAACGTGTGACAATTCCAAACGAAAGTCAATGAATGGTAGTTTATGCTATACGTGTGGAACAGGTTTAATCCTTGGTGCGGAGAAGGGGCGAGAGAGGAGAGTCTGAAACATGTTTTCCACTACGGTGAACTTTTCTTTACAACAAGTTAATAAGTTAATAAATGGACACCAGACTTTTGAACCAAGGAAAACGCGAAGACTAAACCAGTTTTATGCCACCTTTTCCCTGGTTCGCTCGTTCTCACATGCGCTTATTATGCACTGACCAGAAGAAAAAGCCGATTGGCAAGTGCATCACGTGAAGCCCGTGCAAAGAAAAAGGACACTGTCACTTAAAATCCCCCTCGCCCCCGGGCTAAAGATCCGTCCACTGACGAATCCGGGTAAAAAGATATGCGGTTTCAAAAATCTCCAAATTCGTGTGGACGGGGTCTGTATTTGAAAGTCGATGAGAATCGGTTATTCCAAAGAGACAGGAAAATCATGGAACCTGTACACAGTACCTTGGACGGGCATCTTGACATCTTTCTTGACAGATAGACTCTCACCAGAATGGATGATATCTGTAGCAAATAATAGACACCGAGTGTTGAGAAAACCCAGCGCGTACCCAGACAAAGGCAATTCCTTTAATTCTGGTAATGTTACTCCAACAGAATTTCTGAAGACGGTGATTTTAATTGTTCAACATCGCTTATTTTAATAATACTCACCTAAAATCGAGCTTGGGCGTATTCTTTCTAGATCCTTTAGATAAGTCCGTGCGTGACCCCTGTTGAAATAGAATTATGAGGTTTCGTGAGTACAAAAAAACCTCAGCCTCCTCAGAACCTAAAACAGAGTGGAGAAATGTGTTTAAATACTTTTTTCTAGAGGCTATCCGTAACTCTCTGAAACTAAACCACTAAAACATCAAATTCAGTCTGTATACAGAATTATCAACGGTCAAAGAAAAGTTCTTCCGTTTTCCATCTAAGGCGACACCCATACGCCTTCAAAAATCAGTGTCTTGAAGGTAATCGTATTCGCGAAGTTTGACTACGAAATTTAGTCGATGCGCTTATAAATTTTTCGACAAGTCGATGGCGTTTATCCAGGGGCGGCGCTTATTTAGAACTTCTCTTTTGTTGAAAACAATGTGCTACGCAGTGTTTGTTTTCTTTGGTATGTTTACAAACGACAACACACATATAAAAACAACATGCAATAAAGTTAGATTTTAGGATCTATATCCCCTTAGAGATCCAAAGCAGAAACAATCTCAGCATCGGCAATGTCAAATAAAACATACAAAAGCCGCTTTTCATTATTAGACGACGAGACAAGAACGTCAAAAAAGCAATACTTTTATTAAGCAAAACAACAAATTTGCACGTGCAGCACGCATTTTCACGTTTTAAAGTGATGTTCCACGAAACGATTCGCAACAACGATTTTTATTGACCACTCCAGAAATACCATAACATACCATAATGCTCTTTGTTTGTCACCCCAAAATTTTGCAGAAGCATTGTCTTCAGTTTCTCTTGAGAGTTAAAATGGCCCTAAGAGAAACTGAAAACAATGCTTATGCAAAATTTGGGGTGACAAACAAAGAGCATTATGGTATGTTATGGTATTTTCTGGAGTGGTCAATAATTATTGTAACACAGCGTTGCAATAATGGAACAATGTTGCAACCATTCAAAACAATGTCACAACAATGATACAACGATGTGTTGCGCTAAAAATCGTCTTTGCGAATCGTCTCGTGTAACATAACCTTTATGGAGGACGTAAACATCGATTTTCAGCGAACTGGAAAAAAACCGAATTCACTCTAAAAGTGGCGTTTTCGCTGCCGTTGGCATTGTCGATGCTAAAGCTTCCTATTATCGCTCCTAAGAACCGGTTTTTTTTAGAAGAACGCTCTTTGGAGTAAATTCCCAGCTTTGAATGAGAAAGAATAAGCAAGAAGGCCTGGTTTCACAGCTTACCTGTAAGCATTCGGTGAATAAATACATTCTGTTGAAAAGTAATCCAGTTTTTTAAAGTACGCGTACCTGGGTATAATGAAAAAATGCGCTGAATGTCATTTCCAAGAGGAAAGTTCAACTCGACTCAGTAAACACTGTAACACACAGAACGGCTCCAAAACACACGTCTGTGATGGGTTTCAGCATCCAAAATCAAAATAAGTAAATGATGTCCTCCGCATACATTCTTTTTCATGCCTTAGAGAATGTAAATACTAGACACAGCATGAAAACTTCATTTACTTCAACGTGTCTTTGAAGAAACAGAACAAAGGGTGACACGGGTTGCTTACCATTTTACACAGACCACCCAGTGTGCATTGGTAAACATAAAACTATAAAATTTGACTTGGTGGGAGGACGACCCGCTACAAAGCACATTCAAATCAGCTGAACAAATACCCTGCAAGCAGTTGCTTTTCCAGGCCGGGCGCTAAGCTACGTCCGGCCTAGAAAAACCACTACTCGCAAGGAACTAACAAACTAAAAAGAACGGAAATATGGATTAGCCTCAAATCAAAGCCCATATATTTTCCGAAGCTCCCCGAACAGAATGGTACGAACCAACTGATTTTCCAACCGAACTTTCCATGTAAATGGTAAGTACCCACAATTATTAAAGTCTCTCTGACTGCAGGAAAACAGGAAAATTACTGGGTATTGCTTCCATGCGTTCTGCAAGCCTTGGTACAATGTAACTAAAATAAACAAAACCGCAACGTACTTTATAGAATGCGTACTACTTTTTCGTGAATGTTTTCCCGACAGCTTTCAAATTTGACGATTTTAGAGTACGCATTAACAGTATCTTTCAAATTTTAAACTTTGTCGAAGCTTGACTTTATATCTTTGCAAAAAAGCGACATGTCGCGAGATTAAGTTATCACAAAATATTACGGGTAATGACGGTTATAACGCACTCCGGCCATTGAAAATGTGCGAAATAAAATTCGATGAGCCAATCACATTTCAAAGCCAGCTCATGTAGCCGCACCTGAGTGCGGAAAAAGGAGCCGGGCAGCAAGTCATCATTGGTTTTGGTTTTACTTCTAGTTGGTTTTTAGCGTGCATGCAGCACAAGTGCTATTAGCAAATCACAAAACATCGCATGAGCCACTTGGTTGATAACTACTCTGTCAATTCGTAAGTGTACTTGAATGGTTTACAACGAGGAATGGCACCCTCTGTACCCTGCATATTACAAACAAATGGAACTAATCACTTTTATTGCAAGCGACTCTACGTTCAACAAAAAGATCACGTGGTCAAATATTATGTTCCCTTCAGCCACACCTTTAAAAGAGGAATTTGAGTCTTTTTACCCCTGGCTCTATGAGCAGCAGGAAAAGGCTAAAAATCCCACTGGTGTTTTAGCAGTAATGCTAGCAATAAAGGCTCTACGTTCATACAATACTTAAGTCCGTCTCAGGTTATAACAAGTAGAAACTGAGAAAAAGAACATAAACGAAACGGTTAATGCTGCATCGGCCGGGGATTGAAACACAAAAATTATTAAACTTGACGAAGTCGATTTGCTGCCAGAAAAAAAGATACAAAACCTGACATTTTGAGCACTGGCCCCTTGTCACACTGAAGTAGCCTGCCTAGCCGGCGGGATTGTCATAGTGTAAGCAAAGCCGTGATAATTGCAGCTTCCTCGCCAAAACTCTCACACAAGCAAAAACAATCCCGCTAACTACGTGGGCAAAGAGTGAGTCAACGGTAGATGGTATTTCCCACCCACAAGTAAAACTCATAACCCTAGAGAAGGAGGGTTTAATTGGGGTATA